CTGGTGCCGGATGCTAAAGGGTGACCTCAGAGGTTTATAAAATCATGAGGGGCATGGATAGGGTGAATAGCCAAGATCTTTTCCCCAGGGTAGGGGAGTCCAAAACTAGAGGCCATAGGTTTATTGGGGGGAAAGATATAAAAGGGACCCAAGAGGTAACATTTTCATGCAGAGGATAGTGCATGTAGGGAACAAGCTGCCAGAAGTGGCAGAGGCTGGTACAATTACAACATTTAAAAAGCATCTGGATAGGAACGTGAATAGGAAGAGTTTAGAGGGATAGGGACTAAATGTTGGCAAACGGGACTAGATTTATTTAGGATATCTGGTTGGCATGGACAAGTTGGAACAAAGGGTCTATTTCCATGCTGTACAACTCTATGACTCTATAACCCTTTTCTTCTCAGCAATATCTTTTGCAGACACTCAAACTCAACAGAATATCACATATACACTCACTCTATTGTCTTATTCAACCGATATGGTTATATGTATTTTCTACATACCATCAATGCAATTCTCTCCATTACTGTCTCTCCCAAAGACACACAGACACAAGCTAAATCACTGCATTCTAAGAAAAAAAACCTCAGGGCTTTTCTAATCCTCATCTACTTGGACTGTTAAAATAGCTGGAGACTGCTAAAATTAAACTTCCCTGCAGCTGGTACAGATCTTTTCTCGCTGAATTACAGACTGGATGTCAATCTTTAAAGTCAACTCCATTCCATTCTCCCAGTTTCTGCCACATCTGATCTGATGAAATCAGCTTCCGCAGGGTTCCTCAGAAATGTCCAACTTTCTCCTCCACTAAGGGTTCCCTGCTACCATGGTTGACAGGGCCTTTAGCCATGTCTGACTCATTTCCCTCACTTCTGCCCTCACCTCGCTCCCAGAAAAATAAAGGTGTTCCTAGTCCTCACTTTCCATCTGACAGCCTCCACATCCAATATATCATAAGCTGCGATTTCTGCAGCCTTCAGTGGGATGCACCATCATACGCATAATACGCTCCCCAACTTTGTCAACATTCCACACAGACTGGTCTTCTGCGATACCCTGGTCCACTCTTCCTCCCCTCCCAACACCTCTTCACACCACCATGTATTTTTCATGCAATTGCATAAGGTGCAACACTTGGCCATTTACTTCCATAAGGCCCCATACATACCTTCCACGTTAAGCACTGAATTACGTGCACTTCATTCAATCTGGCCTACTGTATTTACTGCTCACAATGCAATCTCCTCTACACTGGGGAGACAAAATGCAGACTGGGTGACTGCTTTGCAGAATATCTGCATTCTGTCCTTAAATGACTACATGCTTCCAGTTGCCTACCACACACTGACATGTTCCCATACCAACACTTTTGTCTCAGGTCTACTGCAGTGCACCAGCGAAGCTCAACGCAAGCTGGACTAACAATTCCTTTTGGAGCCTTACAGCCTTCAGGACACATCAAATTTAATAATTTTTGAGCACAAACACTCCCTTCCAAATATATTACCAACGCTCTACCTCAGGTCACGTCATAAAATGGGTTGCTTTCAACACAGCAAACCCATCTTTCACTACTCATAACCCAAGGGCCTTGAGGTAGCATCTATTACATACTCCATGTTTCAGAGTCACACAGAAGAGTCAGAAGGATAACTGCCTTATGCACAAGGATCTTAATCAGCACAGATGCTATGGTTGAAGACTCTCATCCTCAGGCATCTGACCTCTGCATCAATGTCAGTCTTCGGTAACTTCCCAAGTATGCTCCATGTCTGGAAGGATTGCTCCGCAGATCTTAATGAAGGGATGGACTGGAACTTAACCTGGGACAGGTTTGTAAAGCATTCGAGTCTTCAAGGTTGGGGCTGAGGCTAATTCTTCAGTATGCTTCTGCAGCGGTGTTAAACGAGGCTTGAAGATTCTCTTCCGAGAAAGCAGAGATGATGTTGTCATCACATACTGAAAGTCCACAAGTGAGTAGTGTCATTTTCTTCTTGGATTTCAATCAGTTGAATCCTAAAAGTTATAGAATCATAGAAACCCTACAGTGCATGTAGAGGCCATTCAGCCCACCGAGTCTGCATCCACCCTCCGAAGTGCATCCCATCCTATCACCACAACCACGCATTTACCATGGCTAATCCAGCTAGCCTGCACAACCTGGCCACTACAAGATAATTTAGCATAGCCAATCCACCTAACTGGCAAATCTGTGAACTGTGGACGGAAATCACAGCACCTAACAGAAAGCAACAAGAAAACGTGCAAACTCCACACAGTCACCCAAGGCTAGAATTGAACCCAGGACCCTGGTGCTGTGAGGCAGCAGTGCTAATAACTGTGTCACTGTGCTGCCGTAAGGGTGAAAAAGTTAAGAGTTTAACAAGTTTTCCATCCACGCTATAGACAATCATCACACCGCTGGGAAGCTTGTTCTTGACAAGAAGAATGCTGGCAATGAAAATGGAGAAAAGAATGGGGTGTTGACACATCCCTGCTTGACCTGAAAGGATTCTATCATTTTACCGTCTACGAGGACCTGCAGTGACATCTTGATGTGGAAGAGATGGATAAATTTCTCTGGACAGCTAGGAGGACAGGTTATATCTTCAGCATCCTTGAAACAGCCAATAGCACCAGCATCGAGACCATGATCATCTGAAATAACTCCGCTGGGCCAGCCACTGCACTTCAGATGCTGATTTCTTACTGTCAAAGCAAATCATCTTTGCCCAGCTCAAGGAAGGCACTCCAATGACAGGAGGACAAAGGAAGCATTTCACAGACTCTCCGACAGTTTCCTTCAAGAAATATAACGCAGATGTCGATGCCTGACAGACTCTTGTTTAAAAGAAACCAACTTGGAGGAAGCTCTTGTACGAAGAGACACAATTCTTTCAGAACATCCTTGAGCAAGGGGGAATACAGAAAAGGAACCGGAGAAAGGAACGCCAGTGATTTCAAGGCTAAGGACCAATCCACCTCCCGGAAACATCTGCCAAACGTGTGGTTGGAGATGTGGATCTAGGATTGGGCTCATCAGCCATGCAGGGACTAACAGAATCCTGGCCATCAATAGAGAATTTCCTAGGTGGACAGTCATACTCGTTTTCAAGTGATTGCCGACAGAGGCGACTCTTAGTCTCCATTACCTTCATTTGAGCTGCTCTCCTTCCCCGGCTTACTATTACTACCTTCATCTGTTTACCCCTTTTTTCTCTCTCTCTTTGAGTTCACTCTCCACCTGTCTGATGATTCCTTTCACACCTACCCCACCATCAGCATAAATAACATATTTTCCTAGTTATTATCAGTTCTGAAGAAGGATCACTGTACTCAAAATGTACATCTGTTTTGTCTTCACAGAGGCTGTCAGACTTGCTGCGAAGTTTTTATTTGTTTCAGATCTCCAGCACCTGTTGTTGTTTGTTTTATTTTATTTTATTTAATACAACTTGACCAAGACAAACTTGTTTTCAAACCAATTAATATTACCTTGCTCCTATTTTTCCTTTTTCTCATTTTTGGTTTGCAGTTGAGAATTGAACTTTGAACAGCGCTTGTTTTACAAAAAAGAAAACAAATAATTTATTTCTTTTTGGGAACAGGCCTGGTTAATTACTATTCTGAGGACACTGTGGGCAATTTAGCACCTGGTTGCTGTAATGTTCTAGGACTGGCAGATGGTTGAATGTTGAATTGGTCAATCAAGGGAGACTAGTGCTGGCCAGCGAACCACAGAGAATGTTGCAAAATAGACAGAAGGATCACTGGGCTTGAAAATTAACTCCTGCTTTCCGTTCTACAGATGTTGCCAGATCTGCTGAATTTCTCCAACACTTTTTGTTTGTGTTTCAGAAAACTCCTCAAAATGGTCAAACATGTTTGCTGTCTCTCTAAACATTTTGTTCTTTTTATATTTCCTATTAACACATGCCTAATTATATTCCCAATTAGGTTTTTTTTCATACTATCAATAAAAAGTTAGCTGGTCTATTGTTCTTATGGGGAGAGACTAAAACTGCAGTATGAGGTTTAAAATTAAAATTAAACCCATGATGAAGATCAGAGTTCTTTTCTCTCTTCTTGAAAGCAGCAGAGGGAGGATCATTCGATATTTTAAATGCCCATTTTGAAAGATTCCTGAATAACAAGTAGAGATTTCTGAAGAAGGGTCTAGGCCCGAAACGTCAGTCTTCCTGCTTGGCCTGCTGTGTTCATCCAGCTCTACACCTTGTTATCTCGAAATCACAAGCAAGTCTTGATAAGCCTTCTTCTGCTCCTAATTTGCATGCATCATCTTTTCTCTCTCCCTCATTTCTTGAGTAGCACCACCTTCCATCTATTGAGACTATTCTTGATTCTAGAAAAGCAAATATATCTACCAAATTTGTTATTTCTAATTGGATCAAATAGACGTGCATTCTTTCACTTCCTTTTAAGGATCTCACTCACGAATTACTGAAGGTGTCAATCCTGTTAAACCTACCAAAATCCGGTACTCCTCCAGAAATGTTTCAACTCTCTTTGAGCTTTAGATGCATCCACTGTTATTGAATAAGACTGAGGTCCATGTTGTGGATGTGCTGATTCGTAACTTAGCTTTATGCAGCACAGCTGTACTCCGACAAGAGCATAAAACACACGATTCATAATTAGCGGGCAAAAGCAAATAGTAAAGTCCTCGCACCAGCCACAGATGAAGGAATGCCTTAATCAGATATTGTTTTGAACGCACTCTTGAGCTTTACACTTAAATCAATCCAAACATTGTAGTTAACAATAACGTCGACAGATTGTGCTGCAAAGAAATCCTCCACCCGTTCATTTAGCCGCCGCCCCACCTCGACTTTTGTAGTAGAAAGTACCTTCCTTTCACTAACGAACTATTTCAGTCCTGTCTTTTTTCGTACAAAACGACTAAAACCTTATAAATATTTAAAGTAGCTTTTGCATTCATTCTGTAATCACGCCTTCGAAAAGAAGTTACATTCTTCATACGACGGAAGAAGTTTTCTTTACTAAACCGTAAACAAATGTACGGTACCCTCACGTGACTGCACGGTCCAGTCCCGTGCCCGGGAGTCTAGTTTTAATTGGCTGCTATTTTCATGTCCCTACGCCTATTGGCTAACGAAGACCAATGTTTGCAGTGCTCGAGCGGAGACGGTTGGATTCAAATCTGAAGCTATTTCCGGAGCTGCTCAGAGCAGCTGAGCTTTGTTTAGACTGTTATCTCTGTGAGTTTGTTATTCTTGGTTTGGGCAATGGCAAGGAAAAGGTAAGTAAAGTTGTTTTAATTTCTTTGGTTCCACTCGCTAACTCATTCTTTATAGGTTGCTTAGAAAATGTCATGAGATGTTTTATTTATCTCCAACCGATGCGCTCGTTTTATCTTAAACGTAAGACGTTTATAAAAACGAAGCGAGCAGTTTGTACTCAGCTTCTTTGAGCTAGAGCCGTACTAGGTTTTGAAAGCAGCTATAAATATGCTTCTTGTGAATTATTTGTCTATTTGTGCAAACTATATTCCAGTGAAGTTGTAGCTTCATCAATGGATCATCTTCTGAATACGAAGGTGGCGAAGCTCCAGCATATCTGGGATGCTGTTGGCATTCAAGAAGACAAGCGAGTTGAGCGGATGGCATCAGCAAAGAGATGTATAGAGGTACTTTCAAATATTTAATGGCGATAATGTTTGAAAGATTGTCTGTTGAGTTACCTGAATAACTCAGTTTAATTTGCCATATTTTTGGGACATGGAGGGCAATGGTTTAAGAAAGGTATAGTATATACTTTTAACATTCTCAACTTACCCATTTTTTTTCTTCCAGACTGAGGGTCAAAATCAGTTTTGATTGACTGGGAATAGATGGGTTTCTTTTGAATTAGTGTAGTAATAGCCTGAAGGAGAAGAATGTGATTGTGGGTGCAATGAGAAGTACAGTCACTTCTCCTACCGCCACTATTGCTGCTCTTTTCCCCCACCCCACCCACTTTACTCGTGGCAAGTTAGTAATGTTGATGACATTGGATACAACTAAAAATGAGTTTTGCTATCAGTTTGCTATGGTTTTTGTCTGTGGCTTTGCTCAACGATTTGCTGCAGAGCAGATTTAGTTTTTTTTTGTTGGATGATATAAGAGAGGAAGCGCAGAGTGGAGATGACAAGATCTGAGGCTTGAATTGGAAATTGGTAAAGGGAGGAAAATGTACTGCTTTACTTTTTCTTTCAGACTTGTAGTTCATGAGTATTCAATGTTATTAATTTCAGTATTTGAAGACTGACTCTAAAAGGGGATACAGGAGGGATGTGAGGAAACTTAACTCCATATATAGCTAAACTTCAATATGACTACAAACAGCTAGTATATTTGTTGTAATCTTTCCCATCATGAAGATGGGATGGAAGATATGTTGGAACTGACAATGTGCTGGTGGATATGTAATTCGTGGCAATTGCATCTGTAGTAAGTGCTTGCAGTTCAAGGAACTTCAACTCGTGCTGTAGTTCATGCTTAGGCCATTGCATGAGGGAGGGGTAAAAGTTACATGAATGCTTTTGTTCTGGGAGAGGGTGGGATGAATGTTCTTAATAGACTAAAGCTGGGTACTTCTAACTCAGAGACAACAAGGTGCAGGGCTGGATGAACACAGCAGGCCAAGCAGCATCATAGGAGCAGAGAGGCTGACGTTTCGGGCCTCGACCCTTCATCAGAATGCCTGCTGTGTTCATCCAGCCCTGAACCTTGTTGTCTCGGATTCTCCAGCATCTGCAGTTCCTACTATCTCTACTTCTAACTCAGTCTGGGTGAGTGACAAGTGTTTATTCATTCTTGGGAAGTGGTTTCTTTAGCAGAACTGGTACTTTTTGCCCACAACCACTTGCTTTAGAACTGGTGTTGAGGTGCCTTATTGAAGTTTGAGTGTAGGTATGCTCATAGTGCTGTTATGGAGGATGTTCTAAGATTTTTACAGTGAAAGAATGGTAATATGGTTTGAAGTCTGGATGGTGGCTGACTTGGAAGGGGATCTTTCGTGGGAACATCATCAACTGTATCTGCCTCCCTTGTCCTATAGATGGTAGTGGCTTAAGTTTGGTTGATATTGTCTAAAGAGCCTTGCAGTGCATCTTGTAAGTTATGATGGAAATTTCTTATTCCAAAATGGATATGGATAGGTTAGGTGAATGGGCCAACATTTGGCAGATGACATTTGACGTTTCTATCCATTTTAGGAATAGAAAGGTAACTTCTCTCTTTCTCTCCGTTTTCAAGTGCTTGGGTACAGAAGGAAACCGAGATCCGTTGGCACAAATTGCCAAAAAAACTAGTATGCAGGCAAGGGAGATAATAAGGCAAATGGAATTTTGGTTTTATTCTTAAAAAGTAGACTATAAAAGTAGGGAAGTGGTTCTACAGCTGTGCAAGGAATTAGTGAGACTACATGTGGAGTATTATGTACAATTTGGTCCCCATGACAAAGGATCTAATTTCATTGGAGGCAGTTGAGGTTGACTAGATTGATACCAGAGACATAGGTTCATCTTAAAAATGGAGCAGTTTAGGCCTATTGTGCCCTCGCGTGTAGAAGAATGAGAAGCGATCAAATTGAGGTATACAAGATGCTAAAGGGAGTTGACAAAATAAGGGAGGATGTTTCCTCGTGGGGTAATTTAGAAGAGACCATGGTTTTAGGATAAGGGGTAGCAAGTACTCCTCAATGGGCTGTGAATCTGGAAAATTCATTTGTGTGGTGAATACCAGAACAGTGAATAAATTTGAAAAGCTTGTCAGATTTTTAGTTAGTAATGGGTTGAAGGGTTATAGGAAGTGGGTCGTAAAGTGGATTTGAATCTGAGATGAGATCAGACATTTTGCATTAAAGCAGGCTCAGCTGAATTGCCCCCTCACCCTCTTGTGTAGAAGAAGGTTACCACCCAAAATAAGAGCTCCATGGTGTGGGGATAACACATGTAGCATGGCTAGTGTTGGTTAGCTAAAAGGCAACCTGCAATCAAGTTTGTAGATTCTGATGTGTAGTGCCACAGAATCTGTACTGGGGCCTCCATTATTTACAATTTTATATCAATGACTTTGACTTTAATGGGATTCCATACAAGTATTTTGAATCAACCTGTCTGGGCATGAGGGATACTTCAGATGCCAGTGGGACCTGAATCCAGATTTTTCTGGCAGAGGTGAAGGAACACTGCCCATGTGATATGATTATTACTCCAGTTTATAGTCCAACAGGCTTCTTTGAAAGCTTGTGATTTCAAATTGCTGTTCCTTTGTCAAGTGAAGTGGAGAGAAGCACATGGGCACAGAATTTATAGGCAGAGATAATTGTCAGATAATTCTAGGAACTGTAGTTGAGTGTCAAAAGATAGTACATCTCAGTCCAAGGCCAACATCACCACCACGTCAGTGTGATATGAGCCCTAAGCACAGTAGCTAAATGAGCTGCTGCCCTAAACCACTGTAGTCTGTGGCATGGGTAAAACCCACAGTGCTGTGAAGGCACTTCCAGGATTTTACTCGCCAGTGAAGAAAGTGATTTAGAGCTGAAATTCTGCGGTTTGGAAAAATGCTTGCAAGTGGTGGTATCCCCATGTTCTTCTAGACACAACACCTCCATAAACTGAAAAAGTTCTATTAAAGAAGCCTTGATAAGTTTATGGCAGTGAAATTTTGTATGGGGTTCACCCCACCACTGAACAGAGTGGTGTTTCTTAAGGTGGTAGAAGGCATGCCAATGAAGCAAGCTGTTTTTGTCCTGGATGGAACTTAACAGTTAATAGCTAACACATTTTTTTATTAAATTGTGTAATTTAACCTATTAAACTGTTTTCCCCCAGTAATAAATATTTGTACTGAGTTTATTGCCCTGTCATTTTATTTTTTAAAAAAAACTTAAAATGGATTTTTTAAACTTTTTTTAAAACTTTTTTGAATGATAGGAACTTCTAGATCAAATGATTTATGAAGAAGAACACATGGAGAAACAGTTGAGGGAATCCATTAAGAAATGGAAGATGCAACTTCAGATGTTGTGTTCTGAGCTTCATCTTGATCCTTATAAGGTAATGTGCTTTGAGAAAGCATGAAACCTGATTAAATGACCTTTCTAGAGTTCAAGCAAAAACTTCTCAAATGATGCGTTTCTGTTTTGCACAACTGTTTGGATGAAGGCTGACTATAAATCAATATTATCCAATCTGCATGATGCTATATAGGGTCTTGTGCTACATAGAGTCCTGAATGTCAAGATTTGCTTCAAAAGAGGGAGTGGATCAGTTGCTAAGATTGCTGATGGCTGTTGATGAACCTATTGTCCCAAATTTGGTTTAATGATTGTTGCCATTCAACTGAATAGCTGCAAGCAGTCTGTTATGCTGCTTGCACTGCATTTGTTTAATCCTCTTTAAAATGAGTTCCGTTGGTCAGTCTTGCATTTTGTCTTTTTGTTTTGAATGGTTTTGCACATACCCTTCAAGGCATTTGTAATATATCTTTCACTTATCTGCTATAGTTTTGCTTCTTGGGAAGTGTACTGGTATCTATTGCATTTTCAAGTGTCGTAGATATTACATTCACTTGTAAGATTGTTAAATTGTGTATTTTTGTTAGTTGCTTCAAGTATGTTGTTGTTAACATCAAAAAGATGAACAGGAAAACTTCCTCCTACCCCTAGAAGAGGGTTGAGAGTTCAACTTGATATTACTAAGGTTGTTATTTGATCAGCTTTTCCATCTAAAGTCCAGAAGATTCATGATCTTGGCAAATCTGTTAATGCGAATGTATTTAGCTGGCTTGTTTGATTTGAAATAAAGATGCATTTGGTAGAGTTGCATTGGCTAAATTACTCTTGTAATTTACTTTGGAAGTTCTCCTACAAATAAAGACTGGAGCAGTGCAATTGTCCCTTTAACAGCAAGCTGTTCCTGATCAAAAACCCCAAAAGTTAACAAGATTTTTGCCATTCTGATCTTTTTAAAATAACTGTATTTGACCAAAATTGTTAATTCACAGGCTGATGAAAGTTCTACTCCACTTCAATTGGAAAAAGAACTCAGAAAAAAAGTGGAGACCTTGGTAGAAGAGAAAAATGGTCGCATAGCAGAATGTGAAATGCTTTTGAAAGAAGATCAAGCTTTGTGTACTGATCTCTGCAAGACACCATACTACGTCCCTACTGGCAAAGTTCCATCTCTACAAGAATTAGAAGGGCTGAGAAATCATCTGATAAGTACAGCCAAAGAAAAGGTATTTAGAACAAAATGTTGGAAATATAATCAAAATACCAAAATGTCCAAAGCATTTGAGACGTAGAGTTAGCTGTAACTTTTTAAATGGATTCTATTCTCTACTTTCTGCAGTGTCTCAAACTTGGAGCAGCATCTTTTTTAATCTTTAAATTGGGTGATTTTCTTTTCAGTTTCTGGAATTGCATTTAAGACAATTTCAGGTCCTGACTTTGCCCTTTATTTTTCTGCCTTTTTCGCTTTGTTTTTGTGATGTCTGCATTGTTTTGCTTCAGTGTCTGTTCTACTTATATTTCCAACGCAGTTTCATTATTTATTTTCTGTTTTCCCCCTTTCCTTTCCCTTTTTTTGTTTTTTCCTCTATCTCTCCCCATCCACCACCCACCACGATTGATTCACTGAATTTCTCTCTCCATAGGGCTACCAGACCTTGAATGTTTGTTTTTTTTTGTCAAATTAAATTCAGTCCTCTTGAAATCATTGTAAATGGGCCTCCAGCAATGTGTAATTTATTATCAGGATTGAAACTCTTTAGATTTTCTCATTCTTCTAAACTCCGATGAGTGCATTTTCAATCAACTCCAACGTCCCTACTTGATATTAGCTGAGTGAACGTTCTCTGGACTGCCTCCAATGCCAGCATACCTTTCTTTACATAAAGGGACCAAAAGCCTTCGGTATTCAGCTGTGGTCTGATTAGTGCATTGTTTAATTTTAACAACACTTCCTTACTCTTATCCTCTGGTGCTCTGAGATAAAAGTCAAAATTCCATTTGCCTACTCATTGAACTTGGATGCTAGCATTTTGTGCTTCATAGATGGGACTCCCTAGTCCCCCTCTGCTGTAGATTTGTGCAGTCTTTCTCTCTTTTAAATCCAGTTTCTCCTTTTTCCTGCATGATCTCACATTTGCAAACGTAATTATATTTCACCTGCCAATCCTTCTTTTTATGCCTTTTGGTTTCAAGGTTTTCCATTTTCATTGAACATGGGCCGTTCTGGTTACTTGTGATTTGCCGAAACAGTCTCAATATAGGAGAGAATTAGACCATTCAGTCATGACTAACTGATTTATCTTTCAACCCCATTCTTCTGCCTTCTCCCTGTAATCCTCAATCCCCTTGCTAATCAAGAACCTATCTATTTTCATCCTAAATATACACAATTACTCGTCCTCCTGCACTAATATATTCCACAGATTCACCACCCTCTGGCTGGTTAAAAACTCCTCTATCTCAGCTCTAAAATGATGTGCCTTCACTCTGAGGATGTGCCCTCCAGTCCTAGTCTCTCCTACTAGTGAAAATATCTTCATGTCCATTCTATCCAGGCCTGTCTTCCTAGAAGTTGAAATGGATTCTGCACCCCCACCCTGGCAACCAATCCTTCTAAACTTAAAGTACAGACCGAGTTCTCAATTGCTCCTTGTGTGATTAAGCCCTTAAAGGCCAGCGCATCCCCTCTTAGATACATGCCCAAAACTGCTCACAACCTTCTAAATGCAGTCTGACTGCAGCCTTGGACAGCCTTAGTGGTACATCCTGCTTTTGTATTCCAGCCCTCTCAAAGCATGCTAACATTTGCATTAGCCTTTGTAACTGCCAACTGAACCTGCATATTAACCTGAAGAGAATCCTGAACTAGGACTCCCAAGCCTTTTTTTATGCTTCAGATTTCTGAAGCTTTTCCCAGTTTTTAGAAAATAGTCTATACCTCTCCTTTCTACCAAAGTGCATAACCTCACACTTTACTACATTCGCATTTCATCTGCCACTTCTTTGCCCAGTCTTCTAGCCTGTCCAAGTCTTTCTGCAGCCTCCCTGACACCTCAATAATACTTGTCCATCTGCCTATCTCCTTCATCTAACTTGCTTGTTACTGCCTCAGAATCCTGTCAGATTTGACAGGTACGACCGCTGCTTGACAAAACTGTGCTGACTCGGCCGTATTTTACCACGTGTTTCCAAGTGCTCTACAATCCCATCCTTAGACTCTAAAATATTACCAACAAGAGAGGGCGGCACGGTGGCTCAGTAGTTAACACTGCTGCTTCACAGCACCAGGGACCCAGATTCAATTCCACCCTCGGGTGACTGTCTGTTTGTGTGGGGTTTTTAACATTATCCCCATATCTGCCTGGGTTTCCTGAGTGTTCTGGTTTCCTCCCACAGTCCAAAGATGTGCAGGCTAGATGGATTGGCCATACTAAATTGTCTGTAATGTTCAGGGATGCGTAGATTAGGTGGGTTGTAGGGCAATGGGTCTGGGTGGGATGCTCTGAGGGTCGGTGTGGACTTAATGGCTCGAAGGGCCTGTTTCCATAATGTAGGGATTCTATGAACTGAAGTCAAACTAACCAGACGATAGTTTCCCATCTTCTGCCTCCTTCCCTTCTTGAACAGGGGTGTCACTTTAACTCTTTTGCAGTCCTTCGGGACCCTCCCTGAATCCAGTAATTCCTGAAAGATCGCTGCCAATACCTCAACTATCTCCTTCAGAGCCCTGGGGTGTAGCCTGTCCATTCTTCTCAGTAATTAATCCACTTTTTAGACTTTTTTTTTTTCAGCTTCCCCAGCGCCACCACCTTGGTGATAGCCACTACGCTCACCTCTGTCCCTGCCTGTCTTGAAATTCTGATATGTTGCTTGTGTCTTCCACTGTAAAGACTGAAGCAAAGTATCTATTCAGTTCCTCCTTCTATTTTTGTTCCTCCATCAGCACTTCTGCAGCCTGATTTTTAGTATTCCAATGTCTGCTCTTGCCTCTTATTTTATAAATACACATATTAAAAAACAATCTTTGTAATCTTTTAAGAAGCCTGGCATAGCAGGGCTTCAAAGCTATAATTAGGTCAACGAAGGGAGAAGTAACTCCAGACGTTAGTACTTTTCTCCTGTGGCAATAGATTTGAAGTACATTTCTTTTACACATTCCAAATAGTTATTTGAACTCAGTTTTGCAACTTGAAAGTTGTGCTCAGCCATTCATACTTTTTTAGATCATAGCATGCCATCTAATGATAGAGGAAGACCAGCATTGACAATCATTATATTGGTTTTTTTCTTTTGGCGTATTTCCTTGTTGGTAACCTTGATGTTACGTATGACCACAAGCTTGTTTTTAGTTTACTATGTTGAACATGTTAGTGTGTGCCTAATAAGCCAATACCGTGTGTTTTGGAAGAAAACTATACACTTTTTTTTTTTCTTTCTTGCTGTTGGAAAGAGTAGACAACGGGGGCATTCGTAACATTACCTAAATGGCCCTCTGGCAGTTTGCAACTTATTCTCAGCAAGAGGGGCATAAGGGAAGGTCTGTTTTAGGTTGAGAATTAAGACTTTTGACATGAAGGTAGAGCAGTGGATGTTGTATAGGCATTTGATAAGGTTCCCCATGGTAGGCTTATGCAGAAAGTAAGGAGGCATGGGATAGGGGGAAATGCGGCAGATTGGATTCAGAATTGGCGGATTCCTAGACAAAGGGTGGTCGTGGATGGAAAATATTCAGCCTGGTGCTCAGTTACGAGTGGTGTACCGCAAGGATCAGTTCTGTGTCCTCTTCTATTTGTGGTCTTTTGTAAATGATTTGGATGAAGGAGAGGAAGGGTGGATTAGTAAGTTTGCGGATGATATGAAGGTGGGTTGAGCTGTGGATAGTGCGGAGGGCTGTTCTAGGTTACAAAGGGACATTGATAGGATGCAGAGCTGGGCTGAGAAGTGGCAGATGGAGTTTAACCCTGAAAAATGAGGTGATTCATTTTGGAAGGACGAACTTGAAAGCAGAATACAGGGTTAACGGAAAGATTCTTGGCAGTGTGGAGGAGCAGAGGGATCTTGGGGTTTGTGTCCACAGTTCCCTGAACACTGCCACCCAGGTGGATAGAGTTGTTAAGACGACATATGGGGTGTTAGCTTTCATTAATAGAGGGATTGAGTTCTAGAGCCGTGAAGTTATGCTCCAGCTATACAAAAGCCTGGTTCGGCCACATCTGGAGTATTGTGTCCAGTTCTGGTCACCTCATTACGGGAAGGATGTGGAAGCGTTGGAAAAGGTGCAGAGGAGATTTACCAGGATGTTGCCTGGAATGGAGGGAAGGTCTTACGAGGAAAGGTTGAGAGAGCTAGGGCTTTTCTCTTTAGAATGACAAAGGATGAGAGGTGACTTGATAGAGGTGTACAAAATGATCAGAGGCATAGATAGAGTAGACAGCCAGAGAGTCTTTCCTAGGGTGGAGGTAGCTATTATTAGGGGACATAGTTTTAAAGTGAGTGGAGGTAGATATAGGTTCTTTATTCAGTGGTAGGGGCGTGGAATGCATTGTCGGAGCAGGTAGTGTAGTCGGCCTCATTAGGAGCATTTAAGCGGCTATTAGATAGGCATATGGATGGTAGTATAAAGTAGGGGTGGAGGTTAGATAGACCTTAGGTTTCGGGTAAAAGTTCGGCACAACACCGTGGGCCGAAGGGCCTGTACTGTTCTATGTTCTAATTCATCTGTGTAACTGAAGTCTCTTCCCTGGAGAGACTTTCCTGCACCCTCCAAGTCATTCCTAAAGTACAGGTCTTCACATAGGACTGAGCACACTAATCCAGCTGAGGATGAAGTCTTTTATACAAATTTATACTAACTTCAAATGTAGTCTACTCTGAGTTGTAACATTTCTTTGTCTTGAAGCTGGAAGAAAAATAGGTAGACAAACTCCATTGTATTTTGAGTGATCTCGCCAATCCTGTTAATTGTAGCAAAGCATTGCAAGAAGAATAAAATGTATATTGCCAAAAAAAAAGCAAGGAAAGGCCGCACTGTATTTGTGTTCTAAATTAGTAGCTGTACCTGCATGCCTTGTGGCTGTTGTGCTAGGAAACATCTCAATTTTATGAATGAGGTGTCCCTTCACCACTACCACCTCTTCCTGCTCCCCCGCCCCCCCCCCGCCCCACAAGATCATGGGAACCTTTTCAATGTAGTCCAACAACTTCCTTTATTTCCTAGCCATAAATGGGGCATTAGCAACTTTCTAATCCAAGGAGACAATTGGAGCCAAAAATTTAACGCATTAATTTTCAGCCTTTACCTCAGACTAGTGGAAGTTACTTATTGAATCTATTTAATTCCTGTACTTGGGTTTTCTTTTTGGCTTGCTTATCTCCTTTTGAGGAGATGCATATTAGCTGTGGAATTCTTTGATTTCATGACTTCCCAGTTACATTTTTGCCTTTGCCTATCTTTTGAGGGTTTGCATGACTCCTTAGCCAGCCTGTTCATTTTTGTTCAACTTTTTTATTTTGGTCACTTGCAAGCTATTTTCTTTTCAGCAATTAAGTTTACATTTGCATTACAATCTTACAGAAATCTGTCTCATTTCCCCTTGGTGCCTTTTGACTGTCTGTTGTCACCGATTTTAAATTGGCAGTCTGTGCCTTTTATGCTCCTGAATTAGTTTTGTTGGTTACTGTGCTCCAATCTTTCTTGATCAACAGGAGTGCCGCTTAGCTAGCTTCCTTGGACTCCGTCAAGAGATTACAAAGCTCATGGCAGATATTGATCACGTCCCTGATTCTACATTTGAAAAAGATGCTGTCCTTGAGGAGGAGAATCTATTTTTCCTCTCTGATGGAAATATTAAATCACTTGAGGTGCTTCGTCACCAGGTCAACTATTTTTTTTCTAAATATTCTCATGCACGTTTTATTTCTCCACATTGAGATTATGGCTGAAATGTGCACTATTTGCTTGTAATTTCTCACTTATTCTCCTTAAAATTGCAGTTAGAGGTGCAAAAGGAAGAATTGATGGCTTCACAAGAGTCTCTGAAAAAACAGATTTGCTCCCTATGGAATGCTTTACAAATCCCTTTAGAGGAGCAGAACTTGTGTACAACAGGTTCTATAAATCAAGTCAATATAGCGGTTAGTATTGAATCTCTGCAGCTGGTTAATGTTAACCTGTGCATGGATGTTAGAGACTTGACTGTCAACAAATTGTAATTGAATGTAACTCCAAAGATGTTTTTTTCTAATCTACAGAATGCAGAAGAACTCACTAAATATTCAAATTAATTGAGGAAAGAGTCTGGGCTATCTTGATCTCAGTAGTTTAACACTTTTATGGACCAGACTCTGAGCCAAGACCGTGTAAATGGTCACTTTTATTCTTTAATACTGATTTTTTATTTTTAAATTAGAATATTGCTGTCCTGAATGTTCAGTTTCATTATGTTGGTTTATAATGTCTTACTACCTTCATTTCTTAGTTGCAACAGGAGCTTGAGCAGCTTCAGCTAATGCAGGCTAAGAATCTCAAACAAATCATCACTGGCATCCGACAAGAACTAAACACCTATTGGGACAAATGTTACTACAGCCAGAAACAGAGAGAAGAATTTGCTTTCCTATCAAATGGTATATTCGTTTAATGTTCTTGATCATGTATTGCTCAAACTCGTCATGTAAACTCAAAATTTGGCTGCACTGAGTTTCCAACTTGATTGCAAAAAAGATTAATCATTTCAATTGTCACAGGCAGACCCAGAATTCATCCGTCACCTCTTTAAAGCATACTTCACATGCGGAATATACTTCAAATGCTCTTTTGTAACTAGAATACATTGCAGATCTAAGGGGGTGGGGGAGCGTAGAAAGAGTGGTTGTTGCTGAGAGTGCCACATCACAATGATGAAGTATAAGATGAAGTTGGTTCTCTTCCCAAATCTTTCCAGTGCTAATGTTCAAAGTGATTCATGTGCAGAAAATTTCACGGAAGAGTTGCTGAAAGTACATGATGAGGAGCTGGTAAAGATTACCCTCTATTACCAAAAACACCATGAATTGTTTGCCAACATTGAAAAGTGGGAATGCTGGTGGAAAACGTTCCTAGAACTTGAGGTACTGTTATGCTGATTTTTTTTTTAAAAATAAGGCATGTTGGACTAACTCAATTATTTGTGCTATTTTTAGTTATTTCTTAATCTTTTTTGTACACTTCGTACCCTTGGCTTAGCATGTTGTTACTGCTAACAATCAATGGCCTTGGCTTGCATAATTTAACATGTTTGTGTTCCCTACTCAAGCTTATTTCACTGATCTAATGAGTCACCTTGTCTTAATAAATCAACTTATGCAAGAACCAAGGGCAAGAAAAGTGTGTTAAATTATAATCGGAGATTCTTAGCTTGTAACAATGTAAAGGGTAACATGCTTTGGCCACAGTTTGCCTGATCTAGGTTTATTGAACTACTTCGAGTTCTTTGTTTTGACTTTCTTACTTTTGGGATTGGAATTGCGCTGTTTAGTCAGACAAATTTGACTGAATAGAAACAGCAGGCTAAAATGTGCTGGCTTTCTAAATTTAGTGAATTGCAATATCTGCATAACTGACCCCAAAAGAACATAGTTTTTTTTTCTCTCCATGGCTGTTCAAGGTTTTGGTTGCTTTTTTAAATATTTTTGCTAGAAGCAAGCTTCTTACAGAACTGACTACACCTTTTGATAAAGTGACTAATCAGCATTTTTATACATGTGAGAATTCCATTGGACTTTTTTTAAGGCATTCTCAGTAACTTTCAAATTTTACTTGCAGACAGTTACAATGACTTTTTTAGAATTTTTTGTGGTAGATACCACCATTTTCAGCTGAAACTTGGAATTTTCTACTCCATGAATGTTAAGGGATACTTCACTGTTTTGCTTGATATGCAAACAAGTTTTAATGGCATCTGAGGGGAGGAGGGAATGCCCTCTGCCCCCCCACCATGGGTGTGTTTGTTTGAGTGGAAGCTCCCCTTGTATTTAACTAGAATAGCAAATCATCTAGTAACTAATGTTTTGTCTCTAAAGGTACAATTACCAAATATAAACTGATATAAGGCATTAAGTGATTGTGACCTAAAGGCTGAAATAAAATTTAATGTAACAATATCTTGTATAGAAGAAGGCATCTGATCCAAACAGATATGTTAATAGAGGTGGAACTCTACTGAAAGAAGAGAGAGAACGTTGTCAGCTTCAGAAGAAAATACCAAAGGCAAGCATCCTTTTATTTACAATGGAGAATTTTTTCCATTTCTAAAGATTATTTGAGCACTTTTTTGTATATTTTCACACCACCACTTGTTAAAAGATCATTGTCCTTGTTTACAGTTTCATTTTTTACTTTTTAAAAAATTGTTATCCATTCACACTCTTTTTCCTCTTCAGCTAGAAGAAGAAATGAAATTATACATAGAGAAATGGGAAACTGAGCAAGGTTGTTCCTTTCTGGTTAATGGGCAGAAATTCGCAACATACATTGCTAATCAATGGGAGGAACATAGACTCAAGAAAGAAAAAGAGAAACAAGAGAGAGTATGTAATCCAATGTTCAGCGCTAACTTAGCTTGACAAATTGTAAACCTCCTATCTTTCTCTTCTGTTCCGCACCCCCTGCTCAAAAAAACAATTTGCTACCCACTACCCTTTTTTGTATTTACATTGCCTAGCACTCGTGTAGTATAAGCAATAATGACCTTCTCAGACCAGAGAGAATCTAACCATCTTGATGTTCAATGGAATTACCTTCTCTGAATCCTCCACTGTCAATATGCTAGAGGTTACCATTGACTAATAACTGAACTAGACAGCTGTATAAATATTGTGGATGCAAGAACAAGTCAAAATCTAGGAATTCTGCACTAAGTATTGTCTCCCATCTCCTCTTTCCCCATCCAACCACACAAAATTACTACCTTTTTAACGTGCTATTGTTTCACTAGAAACAGTGGCAGTAGTATATACCTATCTGCAAGCTGTAATGTAGCAACGTACCAAGGCTCCTTTCTAACATAATCTTCTAAATTATGATCTCTATCACTTAGAATGACACTGACAACAGATGCTTGGGAACACCACCTCCATGTTCCCCTCCAAAACACACCATCCTGATGTGGAACTATATCATTGTGTTCCATCACTGTCATTGTTTAAAATTCTGGAGCTCCCTAATAGCAGAGCATTTGTACTCCCTGGGCACTGCAGTGGTTCAAGAAGGCAGCTCACCACAATCTTCAGACATTTTGGGATGGATAACAAATGCTGACCTAATCAGCAATATCCACACACTCTAGCAGTGAACTTAAAAACAAAATTGCTATGTTGGCTGAAGTTTGCTCAAGTTAGAATTTTATATGCAGTGTTGGTGTTTCCAGGTTATTCAAGTGTAATCAATAAGATTAATATATATTAGCACTTGTTGTTTGGTTTCTTTTTTTTGTTTTTTTGAAAGCTTGTGTATAGTGCCAGTGATTGGAAGACTGTCTTTATTTCCAGTGTATAAAGAAGGAAGATGGGACTGGCTATAAAACTCCTTTAAAAAGAACATTGACTGCATCTAGTACACCACAAAGTAAAATCCGAAAGGTAAGTCATTAAAAGTCTCTTTAAATTAAATTCTCAGATATTTAGGGAATTCATATAGTGGACACTTCTTTTTAATTCTTTACAATGAACAGTGCCACAAACCTCCCAACCCCAGCAATTGCCTAGCTGTTAGACCTGCATTAAGAGTCTCTGTTCTCTATTTTGATCACTAGGGAGTGGGGGAAGCCTCCAGCAATTTCAACTAAACTTTATATTAATAAAGTAAGCTGAAGCAGTTCATATTTTTTAATGAATGTTAGTGTTGACCATGCTTATACTTGAGTTTTGAAGAGCTAAATGATGGGTCTGCATCTGCTTGGGGCAGTGTTCTGACCTATCCAGCTCTTGTAGATAGGATTGATAGCACACTCCTCAATAATTCAAAGCATGAGAAAGTAAATTCAGACCATATCCAAATTATTAGTATGACTCAGTTGTAATTGATTTACTTTGCTGAGGATTGGCTTTCTCTTGTGAATCAGTGTTTTTACAGGCTGGACGTGTTTTGCTGCCAGTAGAGTGACAGATTCTGTTGACCTGCATAAATGGTATTTCTTGTGAAGTTACAGTAGCAGAGCAAGTTTGAAGTATATTTTGTGGCCATTATTCTTTTCAATCCCCTTTGGAGAAAAATCATCCGTTTATCTTTTCTAACAACACTTGATCTTGAGTGATACCTTTCTCCTGAAAAGTAAATCTAAGACTAGTCTAGCAGTTGGCATGCATTATTTTAGAACTTGTAATTTTGTGCCTATGTTTCTCCAAGTTGTTTAACTGCCACTCCAGAACGTAGGGTGCTGTACTCTTATTGCAGCTTTATTCTTGCACTGAGGTTTTTCCACTGTAGGAGATCTGACAGGACAGATGGATATAAGAGTCTACGCCTTTTTTAAAGAGGCACAGGCCAGGACACCAGGGATAACCTTTATCTTTCAACATAAGCAATAATGGTCACAAAACACTCTTTACAAGAGCTTGCAACATGAGAATTGGCAATAGAATTTCCTACATTAAAACAATGCCTAAGTATTTCACTTGCTTTAATTCACTTGCTTGTTTGGAATATTCTATAGTGAAAAGCACTACATAAAAGCAGGTCTCTTCTATTCCTTCATTTACTTCCCTATTCAGATGATAAATAGGGTGGCATGATTTATTTCTCCCAGGAAATTATTAACCTTGTGAATTTGCTTGGAAGATGAAAGATGTCTTATGTCGCTTCTAAAATGACTGAAAAGTTATTATTTTCTCTCATAGTTAAATGGGACCTTAAATTTTACACCAGTGAACAGTGGTGGAAGCCTATGTAATCAAGTGAGAAAACCAGTACTTACAGCTCGGAGGATTAGACGTGTTGCAACAAATACGGTAATGCACACCTAGCTTTGAAAGCTAGCTTGTGTACATGGTTCTTTAACTCTCTCTTTCTATCCAAGCAAACATTAATGCAGTTCATTGGTGTTATCTCACTGTTAATTTTTGTCTCTACGCACAACAGAGATCCAGCTGACCGAGTAAAATTATGCAGCTTTTTCTTGCATAATGTTGAACCAGAATCTCTCTATTGTGGAGCTCATAACCATGTACTATACAGTACTTCATCCATGCAGTCAGATTTAAGGCATTTGAAATAATCTGACGTATTGCAATTAAATGTATCTGCAATGAAATTTATAAACTAATTCTGAATACTTCTAAACAAGAGCAGGAAATTCTCAGCAATTCTGGTAGCATCTATGGAGGGATAGAAACCAGAATTAATATTTGTGGTCTGACATCAGATCAAAACATTCAAATTGGAATGAAGCAATGACATGTTCCTTTTTAAAGTAATGAATATTTGGAATTCTAATCTTTCAGAAGTTGAGTCTACACAGTCAATTGTATTGAAGCGATTTAAGTACATTTTTGGCACCGGCGGAAATTAAGGGAAATGGGAAAGTAAGTGGATATAGTTCAGCCAAGAACATTGAATTTTTAAATCATTTTTACAAATTGAAGCAATGAGGGTAGAATTTCACAGCCTGATTTCTAGTAATGAAATGTTTAATATGGTTTTGCTGATCCAAATATGTAAATCCAGTATTGATTTTTCATCATCTGTGTCCATTTCAAACTTGGCTTCAGTATTAAACAAGGCAATTACATTAATGGGCAGCAAACAAACTTTAGGGGCAACAGATATCTAAAATCTAGCTGTGAAATGCTCTTTGCTCAATATTGCCCCTCTTTCCAAACATGTCTGCAGTCCTTCTAGGAAAACCAAAACATTGTGTAAAGGAATGTGAGAAGGGAGCAGATCTACTTTCCTACTCCATTTTTCATTAAGACCTGAATCATTGAGATTTCCATTTTGAGATGTATGAATCTTTCCAGGATTTGTTTGCATCCACAGTCGTATGGTACAGAATTTCTGAATTTAAATAATTTTTTAAAATATTTCTAAAGTCGTGGCATTTAGCAAAATGGATTGCAGGTAATTGACTTCAACCAGTCTCTCTTCAGTTAGAATTGAACCCTCTGTAATCCTCTGTAACAACAATATGGAAAATATACAGCACAGCCTTTCAGCACATCCTCTCTGCCAGCCATAAACAAACAGTCAAGCTTCCTCCTCTTCAGTGCCTGTTCAGTGACCACCTAGATGCAACATTTCAAGTGCATAGTATTTCTGCTTCCATCATCCCTTTTTTTTTATTTCAAATGGCTACTTTCCTGATTGTGAAATTATTTCTTCAAATCCGCCAGTTTAATTCCTTTGGCAATTACTTTGGTCATTACCAGATGCATAGATTCATTCTAAGAAATATAGTTCTCCCTATCCACACTGACCACTCTCCCTTTTGGGAAACCCCTCCCAAAAAAAACCTATCCGATCTTGTATCTAAAATACTCCATTGAAGGCAACATCTGCGAATGTATTAAAACAAAGAATCATATGTCCTGAAATGCACTGGCCAACCTTCCATGCAATACAATAGCTGTCATGTAACTAATGTTTTGTGCTTCAAATAATATCATCTTAGCCACTTTCCTCATCTGTCTTGCTCTGCAACCATCAGGAATCTGAACATAATCTAAAATGGTTCTTGCACTTCACAGTATAATATTTTTATTGTATATTCCATCAGAGGTGGGAATAGAAGTAACCGTTCAATCCATTGAGTCTGATCTGCCATTCAGTGAGATCAAAGACCCAACTCTTCAAATCCACTTTCTTGTCTTTCCCTGTAATCCTGATTCCTTTTTTTAAACTTGATTCCTTTCCCTTCCTTATTTGACCTCACCAATGCATCCAATACTTCTCTGGATTGAGTTCCATTTGCCACTTTTCTATTCACTTGACTTGGATATCTTAATGACCTCATTCAAGAAAATTTGAGTTGGCACCAGATTTGCAGTACCATTGTACAAAGGTACGTGTTGCAGACAGTCATATTATCAGACACCTTGTAATTTTTAAACCTGGAGCAATACTTACTGAGGGAAGATGGCAATGAGAAAATAATTTCTTAAATGAAAGCTGCTTAATCAAGGTTGTACAATATTGTTCCTTGTACAAGGCTACCTGCTATATAGAATGTCAACTTAGTTACAGGTTGTTGGAGAAAACAGTTTTGAAATATAGCTGGGTGGATACCATCAGTTGGGGACGGACTTGAGAAATTCTCTAGACATTTGCATGGATTTTATTGAGTGAAAAAATTGCCCTTTAATTTATGGATTGGAATATAAGTTAAAGCAAAGCAGATCATTCTAAGCCGAGATGATTACCCTTGGGCAAGTTCCAATGAACTATGTGCACAAAAATGTTAAGAAGAAAAGGTAACTGAATGCAAGTTAATTCGGGACTTGACTGATACTTTTTTTTTTATTCTGCCATGTCAGTCAGTAAGCAGTGCATAGTTAATTGACTATTCCCAAGTGAGACAAACAGTGAATTCATGACCTGGGAAAAGAAGTATTGACTGCAACTACTAAAGTAGTATAAACTGAATGCACTAAGTTTTCTTTGATCTTTCAACAATTCAAGCTGTGTACGTGAAGTTGAGGGATTGCAGGGTGACTTGGTCATGCGGAATGCATGTCTTACTGCCTCCTGGTGACTTTAACTACCAAAAGTACTGGAAGTATCACCTATGCAGAAACTTGAGCTCCAGCCAGAGCCACTGCAGCATATCCATGAGGCTGATTGCACGTTCAAGCTTAAGATGTGACCCCTTCCTGGAGTGTGCAGGCAGAAAAGGAATGGCAGATCAATAGGAAGTGTGTGTAGGTGTCCCAACGTCCTGGTTGTTAACCTGCTTTTCATTTTGGTTCCTGATAAGGTCATTTAAAGAATGCTGTTGGAGAGAAGTATGTGGTGCCACAGGTGACAGGAGAATAAAGAGGGAAGGGCACAAATAATAGCCAATTGTTTTGTTCAGCGAGGTGTTTCTCTGATCACAGACATGACTTTAGGATGGTCTGTTGGCTCCGGGTGCTAAGATCAAGTATCTGGGGTGTTAAATGAATACTTTGCATCTGTCTTCTCACAAGGCAGATGCTGCCTGCCATGATGGCAAAAAAACTCACCTAGAAGGGTTTAAAATTGATAAGGTGGTGGTGTTGAGTAAGCTGTTGGTATTTAAAGTTGGTAAGGCACCAGGACTAGAGACATATCCAAGGATATTGAAAGAGACAAATAGAAATTGCGAAAGCTTTGGCAACAGTCTGTCTTTCCCTGGAATCATAACGGTACCAGAGCATTGTAAAATTGCCAACATTACAGGGAAGTTTCTAGAAAGTTATTCAAAATAGTTTGTTCACATGGGAAATTTTGTTTTTTCTCAACAAATCAATGCTGTCATTGACTCAACCCACAATGTCCAATTTGCAGTCTCTTTTAAAGGAGGAATGGAGGATTAAAGGTATGGCCATCCTGCTGTAAATTGACTTCTGAGAGACATTTGGTACAAATGTCACAGAACTGTCTTGAAAATTAAAGGTCATGCAATAAATAAAATAGTAGCAATGTGGATGTAAAATTGGCAGAGGAGTTGGGAAGCAGACTAGTGGATATTTTTGAGCTGGAATAAAGGTTGTTTTTGTTTTGAAGTTCCCTGGGGCTAGTAATCATTGCAACTAGGAAACATCAAGGGGCAATGAACGCTGGAAGTATTTTATAGAGCACCAAACTATGTAGTGGTAGTTTTGGCCAGTGTCAAACCTGAAAAGGACTTTAACACTTAAGTGGTAGATGCCAGATGAAGTTCAATGCAGAGAAGTATGAAGTGATAGGTTTTGGTACAAAGAACTTAGCGACACAGTGTAACATTAAAGGGTGTGCTGAAATCAAATGATCTGGGTATATGTAGACAAATCACTAAAAGTGACTGGACAGGTAGAGAGAGCTGTTAAACCTTTTTTTTTAAAGGGAGCAGAGAAGTCAGCTGGACTACAGTGTATAGTTCTGGGCTCCATGCTGGAGGAAGGTTGTGAATGCATTGGGAAGAATGCAGAAGAAATTTACAAGAATGGTTCCAAGGATAGAGTTCAGCTGTGAGTGACTTTGGAGTGGAGAAGGCTATGAGATTTTGTAATAGCTGTCAAAATTGATGGGTCTGGGTAGAACAGATCAAATTCTCAAACTAGAGAGCATAGTCTCTGGGACGAGGAGAGGTCATTTTAAGATTGAGATGAGGGACGTTTTCACTTGATTTTGGGTGAGTCTTCACAATTCTCCAGCCCAGCTGTGGAAACTCAATCACTAAGCATCGACAAGACAAATCCAATAGATTTCTAGAGGCTAATGATATGAAGGGGTACAGGGATAGCCAATACAGTGGCACTGAAGTAGATTAGCCATGATCTAATTGAATGATGGGCAGGCTGAGCAGCCTGCTCCTGGTCTCTGAAGAACACTTCGTGATGCTCTGTGATTTGCTGTGTACCATATGCTTAAATCTACCATCCTTTATCTAGAATTGGAAACTAAGAATTATCACCAAAATGCCTGTGTAACTAAATCAGTAGGACTTGGTGCTTCCAGAGAATATTTGTTCTGGGGAGGAGCTATACTTGAATTCATTTCTTTCTTACCCTGACCTTCTAGACAATGTATGATTTGTATCTTAGCCTTGATCTGATGTTTTTCAACTTCACAAACATTTGTCATAGAACTAAAAAGTGTTACTTAGAAAAATAATTCTGCTTGCGAATGGAATATTTGAGTATCATTCTGGATTACCTTGAGTGGTTGTTGAAGTGTCACTGCTATGTGGGTTTAAAAGTATAATTTTGTCTGTTTACTAGTGTATTTTTTGGTTTTTCCTACTGTAAATCAAAGCAATTCACTTCCAGAAAATAAGGAACAACTCAACTTTCTTTAGTATCCATCTGATTTTGAGAACTTGATTTTGATTTTTCTGTTTCAGAGTACAAATGTGAGCAAGTTACCAGATCTACTGCAAAAACCACCTCTGCAAAACAAAGAAACAGTAAATACATCACTTTCTAGCACAAATCAGCAGCCCAATGCATTTAACTGTCTTGTTGCAAGCTACTCGGAATTTTCAGTAAGGCATCTACTTTTTTATCCTTCTCTACACTTTGCTTTCAAAAGTCATTTGAAAGCATTTGGATATCTTTTATAATCAATTTGTTCAGATATCATTACACATCTCTGGGGGAGGTAGGATTTGAACCTGGGTCTCTTGGCTCAAAGGCACAAACACTACCACAGCACTGCTCAGCAAACACTTTAAATTTGCTGATGGTTGTCTCTTATAGCATCGTGGAAGATTAGTGCCTTTTTATTTACAGGTGTGTACTAATTGATAACCACTCTCTCTTGTTTTAATGATTTCTATGTTCCAGCTTCCAGTGTCTGATTGCCTCTTTTTTTTTTAAAAAAAAACATTGTATGTGCTTTCCCATTTTGTGGGAGAATTATAAAGCAAGATTAGTCATGTGATTTTTTTTTAAGGGCAGATCCCCATAAGCTTGATTTGAAGAGGTAGAGAGTCAGTCAGTTTTAGATGGCCGATTCCATATTTTGGGCTTAAACAGCTAAAGGTGCATGCAATTGTAAAGCAAGGACAATTGGATCAAAAACAAAGTTGCTGGAAAAGCTCAGCAGGTCTGGCAGCATCTGAAGAAATGTTAAGTTTTTTTTTCCAGGTCCAGTGACCCTTGCTCAGAAATGATAGTGGCTGGGAAAATGTCAGTTTATGTGCAGAGAAAAGGGAGGGGGATGGGGTAGGGAGTAAACGATAGGATAGAGCCTAAAGAGAGGAGCAGTTGGACAGACAGAATTGATAACGATCAGGCTAGGGGGTGAATAGTTAATGGGGACTATTAGTGACTAACAATAGGTATTGTGTAATGGTAGGCTATGTGATAAGGCCTGGTGTGTGGAGTAGGGGGCTGGGACAGTTGGTTTGGGGGGGTGGTGTTTAGGCCCTAAAATTATTGAGCTCAATATTGAGTCCGGAGGGCTGAAGGGTCCCCATGCGGAAAATGAAGTGTTGTTCTCCCAGCTTGCATTTTGAGCGTCGCTGGAACACTGCAGCAGGCCAGGGAGCAGGGTGGTGCATTCAAGTGGCAGGCAACAGGTACTTCAGGATCTTTTTTGTGAGCAGAACATAGATGTTCTGTGAAGCAGTCACCCAGTCTACACTTCATTTTCTCCAGTGTAGAAGAGGCCATGTTGTGAACAATGAATGCAGTAGACTAGATTCTGGGAAGTGCAGGTGAAGTGTTGCTTCACCTGGAAGGTATGTTTGGGCTCTTGGATACTGAGGGGGGAGGAGGTAAATGGGCAGGTGTTGCACCTTTGGTTATAGGGGAAGGTGCCATAAGGCTGTGGGGAGGGGTGTTGAAGGTGAAGGAAATGTGGACCTGGGTATCCCGGAGGGAACCCTTCCTGCGGATAAGGGAGGAGAGGGGAATGTGTGCCTCGTGGTGGCAGAAATGGTATATGATCATCTTTGGGTGTAGATGTTGGTGGGATGGTAGGTAAGCACAAGGGGAACCCTTATTGCTGTTATGAGGGATGAGAAGGGGTGAGGGCGGAAGTGCGGGAAATGGGTTGGACCTGGTTGAGGGCCTTGTCTGCTACAGAGCTGGGGAATCCTCCATTGAGGAAGAAGGTGGATGTTTCAGAGGCTCCCTTGTCGACGTTGGCCTCATTTGAATATGTATGACAGAGACCGAGGAACTGAGAGAATGGGATGGCGTCTTTACAGGAAGCAGGGTGTGAGGATGTATAGTCCAAGTAGCTGTGGGAGTCAGTGGGTTTGTAGTGGATATTAGTGGCCAGTCTATCCCCAGAAATGCTGAGGAAGGGAGGAGTCAGACAAGGTGACAGTGAGGGCAGGGTGGAAATTGGAGGCGAAATTGAAGTTTTCCAATCCCAGACGAGAGGGAAGCAGCACCAATGATGTATCAGAGAAGCAGTTGTGGGTTGGGGCCGGAATAGGACTAGAACAAGGAATGTTCCACATACCCCATGAAGAGACAGACATAACTAGGACCCATGCGTGTACCCATGGCCAGCCCTCCTACCTGAAAATGAGGAGTTAAAAGAAGTTGAGGGTGAGGATGAGCTTGGCCAAGTGGAGGAAGGTGGTAGTGGCTGGGGATAGTTCAGGTATTTGCTCCAGGAAGCAGCAGAGAGCCCCAGGTCCCTCCTGGTGGGGAATGGACATGTAAAAGGATTGCACGTCCATGGTAAAAAGGAGGTGGCTGGAACTGGCAAACTGGCGTAAGGTGTCAGAGGAATCGTGGATGTACTTGAGCAGGAATTGGACCAGGGAGAGAAGACTGAGACAAGGTAGGAAGAGGTGGGTTACGTGGGGCAGGAGCAGGCTGAAACAATGGGTCTGCCTGGACAGTCCTGTTTGTGGATTTTTGGGAGGAGGTAGAAGTAAGCTATGTGGGGCTGGAGGACAATCCGCTTGGAAGCAGAGTCGGGGTAGATCACCAGATGCAATGAGATCAGTTACTGTAGTAGATACAATGGCCTGATGTGTCATGGTCCAGGGTAAGGTAGGAGGACGTATCAGAGTTGGCGCTCAGCCTCTGCAAGGTAGAGGTCAGTATGCCAGTCTACAACAGCACCACCCTTATCGGCAGCATTAGTAACAAAGTCTGGGTTAGATCTGAGTGCAGTTAGTTCAGAGGGAGATAGGTTGGATTTGGTGAGGGGGACCGAAAAATTGATGCGACTAATATTACATCAACAGTTCTCAATGAGCAGATCGAGTGCAGGTAAAAGGCCAGAGGGAGGGTGTTGAAACTAGGCATGGGGGTCTGAGGAAGAGGACTCTTGTCCAAAGAAATGAGCACGGCGGCAAAGTTGGCAGAAGAAGAGTTCAGCATCATGTACCTGAAATTTAAGGTCGGGACGTACAGGAATAAAGCTGAGGCCTTTGAGTACAGAACGTTCAGTATCGGAGACCGGAAGGTTGAGGGGTGGTGACTAAACTCCGTTGTCGACCAGGTCCAATCCATCTCCTGCACTTCTGGCCTCACCCCTTCTCTTCCCTCCTGCAACAGTGATAAGGTTCCCCTTGTCCTTACCTACCATTCCACCAGCATCCACATCCAGAAGATCATCAGACGCCATTTCCACCACCTCCAGCAAGATGCCACCATCAGGCACATATTCCCCTCCCTTGTCCGCCTTCCGCAGGGGCCGTTCCCTCGGGGACACCCTGGTCTACACTTCCTTTACCCCCCAACACGAGCCCCCATGGCACCTTCCCCAAAAACCGGCAAAGTTGCAACACCTGCCCATTTACCTCCTCCCTCCCCAGTATCCAAGGTCCCAGAAATATCTTCTAGGTGAAGCAATACTTCACCTGCACTTCCCAGAATCTAGTCTACTGCATTCACTGCTCACAATGTGGTCTCCTACCCTCGGAAAGATTGGAAGAATATGGGCCAGGAGCAGGCTGGTGGGACTAGTTGATTTGGGATTATGTTTGGCATGGACTGGTTGGACCGAATGGTCTGTTTCCATGCTGTATGATTCTGTGATTCTATGATTCTACCCTAGGGAAACTAAGCATATACTGGGTGACTGCTTCACAGAACATCTAGGTTCTGCTCGCAAAAAAGACCCTGAACTACCTGTTGCCTGCCACTTTAAATCACCACCCTGTTCCCTGGCCAACATCTCCCTCTGTCTCTGGCCTGCTGCAGTGTTCCAGCGAAGGTCAACGCAAGCTGGAGGAACAACACCTCATTTTCCGCTTGGGGACCCTGCAACCCTCCGGACTCAATAGTGAGTTCAGTAATTTTAGGGCCTAAACGCTCCATGTCCCAGCCCTCTACCACACAGCCTGCCATTACACACTACCTGTTGGTCACTAATTGTCCCCATTAACAACTATTCACCCTCCCAGCCTGATCATTATCAACTTTCTGTCCAACTGCTCTGCTCTCCTCTCTTTTAGGCTTTATCCTATCACTTACCCCTACCCCATTCCCCTCCCTTTTTTTTTCTGCACGTAAACTGATGTTTTCCCAGCCACCATCAGTTCTGAGGACGGGTCACCGGACCTGAAACATTAACTGTTTTTTTTTCCTTCTCAGATGCTGCCAGACCTGCTGAGCTTTTCCAGCAACTTTATTTTTGTTCCTGATTTACAGCATCCACAGTTCTTTCAGTTTTTGTTAAGCACAATTGGATGTTTAGGAGTCAGAATTAAATGTGCTTAACCAGATGAAGTTTATAGGACTGGAGAAGATTAGGGATTTAAAGAAGAATGAATATCTTGAAATTGAAGCATTGCACTCCTGGAAGCCAATTGTACGTAATTGAGCACAGGGATGATAGATGAATAGGACTTGGGACAAAGGTAGCAGAGTTTGGACGACTCCTTATGACAAGGAGAATGTGAGAGCAACCAGCAATTATTAGAATAGTCACCTCTGCTAACAAGGCATGAATCAGTGTTTCAGTAGTATATCTGAGCAGGGGTAACGTAAAGTAGTTTTACATGTCAAATGGATTGAATGGAGCATCATTAGTGGCTACCCTAATGGACAGAAACTAACCTGTCAAATATGACAAAGGTTGCAAACAGATTAAGCCAATCTCTGAGCAGGGCAAATGATGCTGTTCACAACTCTGGAATGGACCTTGGAAGAGGGATCAAAAACTTCACTTAAAACTTTAATTGGTGGAAGTTCGTGCTGATCCAACACAATGTCTAAACTTCCCCTTGATCTGTTAAATTCAGGTGGGTTAGTAATGTTGAGCAGCATTTCAATGTATGTGCAAAAGCTATCTGTCAGATATCAGTGATAGTAGGAACTGCAGATGCTGGAGAATCTGAGATAACCAGGTGTAGAGCTGGATGAACACAGCAGGCCAAGCAGCATCAGAGGAGCAGGAAAGCTGACGTTTTCCGTTGTGGCCTCTACATCAGGGAAACCAAGCGAAGGCTTGGGGACTGCTTTGCGGAACACCCACGCTCGGTTCGCACTAAACAACTGCACCTCCCAGTCATGAACCACTTCAACTCCCCCCCTCCCATTCCTCAGACGACATGTCCATCCTGGGCCTCCTGCAGTGCCACAACGATGCCACCCAAAGGTTGCAGGAACAGCACCTGATATTCCGCTTGGGAATCCTGCAGCCCAATGGTATCAATGTGGACTTCACAAGCTTCAAAATCTCCCCTCCCCCCTACTGCATCCCAAAACCAGCCCAGCTTATCCCTGCCTCCCTAACCTGTCCTTCCTCCCACCTCAAGCCCCATCTCCTACCTACTATCCTCATCCCACCCCCTGGACTGACCTATCCCCTCCCTAACTCCCCACCTACACTCACCTTTTACTGGCTCCATCCCTGCCTCTTTGACCTGTTGTCTCCTCTCCACCTATCTTCTCCTCTATCCATCTTCTATCTGCCTCCCCCTCTCTCCCTATTTATTTCAGAACCCCCTTCCCCTCCCCCGTTTCTGAAGAAGGGTCTAGGCCCAAAACGTCAGCTTTCCTGCTCCTCTGCTGCTTGGCCTGCTGTGTTCATCCACCCTACACCTTGTTACGTCAGATGTCAGTGATAGCATGTAGGTGAGAAATAGGAATGGGTCAGGAATAGGTCCTTGGATGAAATCAAGGTGTTAGGAAATTGTATGTGATGCTTTGAGTACAATTCAAGAAGGATAGAACTTGGTGAATGCAATTCTTTCTTTCTTTCCCTCCCCTCCCTCCCATCCAAGCCGGATGCCAGGTGTAGGGGATGGTATGGTCAACTAGGTCAAGAGTAGCAGGCAGTTTTGTTTTTTAAAAAAAAAAGTAGGGTAATTATCTTAATTACCATCATATAGGGTATCATTTATAACTGAGCTGTGTTCGGGGATTCACACAGATCTGGGAAAGACTAGTGCAGACTTAAGTGATGACATAATTGGGAGAGAATAAATGAACAATGGCAGTGAACATGTGAATCTGGGTGGGAATAGTTTGTTACTGCTCAATTTATGAATGCAATTGAAGGAGTAGGAGGTGGCTTTCATGGTCAAGATGAGAAGTGTGCATAATGTTTAGTGTGATTTGGGCAAGTGGAAAGGAAAGACAGCTGAACAGATGGTGTCAATTTTAGTAACAGATAGCCATGATATTTCATTGTGAGATTGGAGACGATGGGAGAGAGCATTGAAGAAAAGAATTGTGGGGATTATCACAACTCTCATTTGCGAAAAAGTTAGCTGTTCTTTGCTATACTGAATTTGGTCAAGGAGGTACCATCCTCTAACAAAACTGCAAAACTTGGCTATGGAGTCTGTATACTGAAGCCAAAGCCTAATGCTTAGTGTAACCTATTACAGAACTTTCCTATTTGGAAAAAATTGGCAAGTGCCATTGTGCAGTACAAAAATCAACATAGTTCTTCAACCTAATGTCTTGTGATTATAGCCATGAGTGTAGAAATTCATTTGGTTTCTAAAATATGTAAACTGACTTTACCTTTACAACCATGGTTATAATGTCTGGAGAAATTGCAAGTTAAAATTGAGCATGTCTTCAAATAGATTTTTATTTTATGAATTATTGGAATTTGAAATACATTAAAGATTAGGTCATTCCTTCCACTTGCCACATTTGTTAATTTTATCAATCTTGTTAGATATGCAGGTGTTTTTTAAAAACATAAATTAACAGGATTAAAATGCAATTATTACTGTAATCCGATAACAAGAAAAATATTTATTTGTTTAGCATTGTATCATCCTAAAAGCTTTCCTCCCTTTTTTTTGTCTCAGCGTGACCTTTCCAGAAAGTCAAGTGATGTCAGTGGGCAGCTTAATTCTACAACTCTTGAAAATCTGTAAGATATCTTCTCTACTTTAGCTGCCAGCTCAGATTTTGTTTTTTTTCTGCATGGTTCATTGACAATTAGTCATTAATTGCTTGTGCTAGATGTCAATTTTATTCCTGTTCAAAATACATCTGAGATAGATGGCCTGTGTTTCATGTTCATTTTTGAATAGAATCATGTTCTAAATGCTTTTTTTGACATCAAGTGTCAACTATTTTGTCACTTCTATATCTTTTGTATGTCGAACCATATTTGCTGTCATTTTTTTGCATGTACCTCTCTTTGTCTCGACACTGTCCTTGAATTTCAATTGAATTGTAATTTAACCTTGTTTTTATCAGCTGTTTGCAAGAATTTCCCACTGAACTTGTAACTTGTGTGTTACTAAAGGGCCAAAAGTAGTGTTGCTATTGATGTTAAAAGAAAATAAAGAATTAGATTAACTTTTTTGGGTTTTTCAGTTTGCTAGTGGCAACACTTCATTTTCTTCACAACAGGCTCACCTATAAGCAATAAATTTGAACTACCTAGATAATTGACTGTTTCAAGTCTCCCTGAAGCCTGGCTTGATGTCAGCCAAAGCAATGGTGATCATTAGATGTTGTGCAGCTTTTAAAAGGCCAGTAAATATGCATAAAATTTTTAATGTTTGCTTAAAGTATTGACCTTGTCATTTTTTTAAGCTGAATCTTTCAGCAATACCTATTGTCTAGTGTGCAACTTGATATTTTCCTGACAATTGACTGTTTAGTAAAGATGTCACAACTGAAAACTACTTCATGAATTGTAAAACTAGATTTATACAAATAAAATATTTTGAATACAAAGCACTTTGTAATTTAAAGTCTTGGAAAATGCTTTATTGCAGGATTAATGGTGAGGTTCTACTTTGTGTACCATGCAATTTTTATTCTTCACTCATGTAAAAATAAAAAATATTGCTTGAAGGTGCTCAGCCCAAGGTTGGGCGCATGAAAGGTATGAAATCCTAGGTTTGTGGTAATAGTCCATAAGTAAGAAGCTATTACTCATTGTTCCTTTAAATGACAAGTGGGACTCCAAAAGCCTGATTTTTAGTTTCTGGATTCTGTCTTCTGATAATTCACCAAGTGAATATCACAGAGCAACATTGAATTTTCCAGATGTTTACATGACTAATGCTTAACAAAACAGACACGTCTATGGTATCTATAGTTCTCTATGTAGAAGCTTTTACTTATCCTTAACACCAAACCATTTCAATTACTGAATCTTAAAAACTCACTTGGAATGTCTGCACCTCTGGGCTGAAATTTAGTAGAGAGAATGTTTTGCTTTGTTTTCCCCAAATTCTTTTAGTAGGTTAAAGTGGTGATCAAGAAGATTCCCCTGAACACTATAGACTCTTTTACCCTCCACCCTGTTGCCCTTCATGGTATTAAAGCCCACACTTAATTTTTGTACTTCTGTAATTTCTTTAAACATGCTCCTCAATCTTTTCATGACACAGCAGAGGCAATATAATTTGCTCCAAAGGAGCAGCAAGGTCAGCAAAATTCCTCTTGGATCAAGGGTATTTAACACTCCTGCCAGTTTGCACAACTTTGCCAATTTGACCTGTTGAGAAATCATTCAACATAAGACTGTGGTAGATTACAGGATATTAACATATGCCAGGACAGACTCCAGATTTGTTTAGCTACATACTAAATTCCAGGAATTGGACAAGATCTTTCTAATGGCTTTTTTTCTGTACTCCAATGAGGAAAGTTTGTACAAATTGCCTCTACATTTTTTCCAAGGACAACACTGAATATGGGTGTGTCTGCCATAAGCAGTCCACTAGTATTCCAACAGCAAAAAGTAAAGTATTTAGGGGAAACAAAAATCCTAGAGACTAGTTAATTTGAGCTGAATCCAAATCCAGTTGAATTTTTAGTAAGTATAACATGTAGGTGAAGTAGATTTACACGGATTTCAGTAAGACCTTTGTACCCAGTGGTTGGGGACAGGGGGTTGTTGGCTTTTGGGAGAGAATTTGTTAGATCCCTGGGGTGGAGGTGAGTGTTGGCATCATGGGAGAATGGAGGGTAGTCTGGTCAGAATCTCTGTAGTCTAGTGAAGGTATAGCTTTGAATGGGGAGGGGGTGGGTGTTCATTTTAACAGTTACTAAGGAGTTAAATGAGGTTTTTAAATGGCAGCTTTTTCCTGGATAACTTAAATATCAGTTGGTGCGTTCCACTGTAGTTTAAGTGGATGTTTCCAGCACAAGGGAACTACCCATTAGATCCAGTCTCTTTGGCGTCTGCTCCATCTCAGCTTCCACGGGTTCTTGATGTATAACTCCAGTCTGCACTGTGGAAACTGTTATCTCACCACTGGTAAATCTGGCTGTTAATTCCAGTGGAAATAGCATTTTCTTATTTGTTACAGACTTGTCAGCCACCTACTTAGCTGTTTAAACTCTTCAGTCAATAAGGCAAATGCAATATGACTATTGGGGAATTGAATGGATTACTTCCAGCTTGAATATTGGTAAATTGCCCTTGTTCTTGGCATCATAAGACCTGCAGATAGAAGCATTTAAATTGCTGGTTACTCACCATAAATATGAAGTTATGGGCAAAACATACCATTGCATAGTAGAGGGGTTATAGAAAATGTTAACAATGTTCAGCCACTGTTGGGCTTGAGCTACTCACCTTGATGAATATTGTTTCTTGTTCTGTTTGTAGGGCAAAAGAATGAAGTAACTCTTAAATACATTCTAAATACCTAACAGGAACTCTGTGAAAGCTTTGGCAAATATTAGTAGAAAGCATTGTTTAAAAAGTTAATTTGGAATTGCCCAAAACTAAGAAATGGAATATTAAGGAACAAATAATTGTAAGGAATTGTTTGTATGGACCATCATGCTTACTGCTGTCATGATATGTGGAACAACTACCTAAGCTGATAAATTGTTTCATATTAATCCATTTAAACTGTACCAACAAACAATAAAAAGTAGAAGTTGATGGTTGTCAAATCACAAGGGTTGTAACTGTCAATCTTAGCAACTTCAGATAGCAACCAGGAAGAGGAGAACTGAGGCCATTAACGCTTGAGACCTGAAATATAATTTGATAACGTATAAATGCCAAAGACCTGCCTATAACACTTGCAAAGGTACAGTTTGCTGTTTAACAAATTGGTCCTGCACAGCCTGGGTAGCATAATAGGGGCCAATATACAGCAAATCTTTGTTACCTCGTTTCTTGGTTATGAAGTAAAAATAATGAACATTGTGTCAGCATTTTGGATCTGGTTACCATGGTGTAATGGTGAGCGCGCTGGCTTCTGAACTGTGATCTGAGTTCAAATCTAGGTGTCGCCTTCTTCCTGGTGAAGTGAGTGGCGAGCCTTGGAAAGTCTCATTTTTTTTTTGGGGGTGGCATGGTGGCACAGTGGTTAGCACTGCTGCCTCACAGCACCAGGGACCCAGGTTCAATTCCAGCCTCAGGCGACTGTCTGTGCAAACTCCACACATTCTCCCCATGTCTGCGTGGGTTTCCTCCAGGTGCTCCGGTTTCCTCACACAGTCCAAAGATGTGCAGGTTAGGTGGATTGGCCATGCTAAATTGCCTGTAGTGTTCAGGGAGGTGTAGATTAGGTGGGTTATAGGGGGATGGGTCTGGGTGGGATGCTCCGAGGTTCAGTGTGGACTTGTTGGGCCAAAGGGCCTGTTTCCACACTATAGGGATTCTATGATCTCTCTCATGCATAATCTGTGAAAGTGTGCCCAGTAAATTGGCTTATGTTCCTCGACAACCACATACCTGGAGAAAATGGCCAAAGCTGAAGAATTTTTTAAATAAATTTGGCTGTAACTTGGATCTCCTTAACTGATTGATTGTTCAGTCTAAATCAAATTACTGCATGGTCATGGTCTTAGTACCTCACATGCTATGTCATTCAATTTCTTCTGTCTTCCACCTGATCACAATTTTTCCCCATTTGCCACTTTTGTCTTCATGTAAAACTAATATCTTCATTTTTTCCAGCTCTATTGATAGGTCATTGACTGGAAATATTAATTTTCCACAGAAGTTCTCTGATTTGAATATTTCCAGAATTTTGTCTTAAGAATCTACTTGAGTAAATTTCTCTGATTTCTTGAACATTCTAGGTTTACTGTAAAATTTACATTTAACTCAATCTAATTGTTGATAGTGATGATTACATTCAGTACCAATTGCTTTTGCTGGTGATTTATCTGCCTTGATGCTATAATTGTAAAATCTCAGTAAAGCATTTCTATATTTTTAAGCTGCACTGAGGATCATAACATCTATTTAGATAATAAACAAAAGAGCAGAAACATGACTCTTTTTAAAGCTATTCAACTTAACTGAAACAAAAATAGAAATTGTTAAATAAACTCAGCAGATCTGGCAGAATCTGTGGAGAGAATGCAGAGTTAATGTTTTGAGTCTAGTGAATCCTTCAAAACGGACTATTTCTGATTTAATGTCTCCCTAATGTGATTATTTATTTTCCTTACTAAAAGGATTTATTTCACAGTAATAGCAGTGCTACTTCCCGGTGCTGCTGAACAGGAGCTTTCCCTGCAAATTTCAGCCAAAACAAAAGATTCTTACTTCTTGCAACTAGGATAGATGATTCCCACCTTTTTAATGAATTCTGCTGCTTTCAGCAAATTATTTGAAGCTGCATAAAGCTGTAGGTAGCAAGATGCAAAAGTTATCTGCTTTAATTAGTTTTACTACATGACTCCTGAGATGAGGTGGCATAGTGGCTCAGTGGTTAGCACTGCTGCCTCACAGCGCCAGAGACCTGGGTTCAATTCCACTCTCAGGTGACTGTCTGTGTGGAGTTTGCACATTCTCCCTATGTCTGCATGGGTTTCCTATGGGTACTCCAGTTTCCTCCCACAGTCCAAAGATGTGCAGGGTAGGTGGACTGACCATGCTAAATTACCCATAGTGTTCAAGGATGTGTAGATTAGGTCAGTTACAGGGAATGGGTCTGGGTGGGATGCTCTGAGGTTCAGTGTGGACTTGTTGGGCCAAAGGGCCTGTTCCCACACTGTAAGGATTCTATGAAACTCTATGCTCCCACTTCAAGTTTTCTTCTAGATGATTCCTACTCCCCACCGCTGAAATAAATGCTTGTCACCTTAAACGTTTTAGGGACAAATTGCACACATTTTCTGCAGCTTTACTAAAGTCTGTGAACTTTCTTCTTCTGCTCTTTAGACATCTAAACTGTGCCTTTGTCACTTTAACCCTGGTTCTGTGACCTTGGTTTACATTGTTTTAATGGCACTAGATTTCCCTTGCTGCAGTTGTGTCTCATGATTCCTGCCCCTCACTCAATCTAAGCCATAAGAATGTTGTTTATATTCCTTTTTGCAGCCTAAATACTCTTCTTTAAAAGATTCCCCTTGACCACCTGAGATTTTAACCTTACTGTCGGAGCCTCTGATGTTGGTTTGTTCTCTGGTTGAACTGCAATTTGGGATTGCACCAACTCTGTAAGGCAGCCTGTTTCTATTTTGGAGGAACTAATTCCCCTTCTCCTGGGAGTTCAATTCTCTTATGGCAACTCAACAGTCCCCTCACCTACTTCAATTTTTTTTTATAATCAAGGGAGAGTTGAACATGGGATGGGGAGATTTTCAAACTCTAGTTTTAAAAACCTCCCTCTCATCCCTGCCTCCTTGACCTGACACAACTTGTCCATCTTCTCTCCCACCTATCCGCCCCACCCATCCCACTGACCAATCCCCAGGACTCCCTATCTGCTGCACTCTCCTATCACCATCCTATCTACCTTCACCAGTCC